GGGGGATATTTGTGTTCACTGTTGACCTTTTGTTGTGGGGGACATGAGTTCAATTGACCAGATATTTTGTGCAAGGGTGTGGGACTCACCAATCATCACCAATCACCAATCAGCCATCGGTCTGACCTGGTAGCCATCTCCAAAATTCGGGATGACCATGGACTCCATGAGCCCAAGAGTGACAATTTATGACAATTTCTGACCATTTGATCCATTTGGTAATCCACTTGATCCACGTCAACTAAATCCACCTTTGGCACCGGTTACCAGGGTAATGAGACCTTTAGTGGTCTGTTTTCTCATGACTCAAATGTGGAGGCCTTGCGAAGTAGAGTCCAAGTAGACACCGTGGTAGACACCGAAGTATGCTAAAACTTTAAAACATGGACTTTAGGATATGTTTGGAGCTTCGTACCAAAGGGTTTCCCACCCACGTTGATCAAGTTGGGGGTTCAAGTTGCTACTCCCACCTAATTGATCCACAACAACTAGCTGTTGTTTTTCTAACAATGTCTTCATCCGATTCCACCCCTAAAAATGCGTGGTCATGATGGATAGACCCATGATCGATGATCCCATCATATTTTGGTAATATTTGGTTATGCCTTTGTAATACCTTTGTAATGCCTGCCCAGATCATCAGATCGTTGTCCAATAAGAAATGGTCCACCGATCAGGGCCTCACTTCATCGAAACGCCGCAGGTTTCAGCTGTTGAACCCACCAAGCCCGAGGTGAAGCCTGCACAGGTGATCCGACAAGATGGGCATGTGATGGCATAATTTCTGGAGGAATATTCGTTTAATAATATAATATATATATATATAATGTATATATATATATATGTAGGTATGTATCATGATAATGGTTATGTATCTTGATGTGGTAAATATGTATTGGTGAAGTTATTATGCGGAAACCATAATCATGCTTTTAGTTTTTGTGGTTTTGGTTGGTTTCTAGGTGATGGTTCAAGTGGCGAACACCATGGTAGAAACCGTACCCATTTTCTGTCCACTCGGGGAATTGTAATCCTTGAAAGAGACATCGGTAGTTACCCGGTAGTTTGGGTAATGGCCTTTTCCCTTGTCCATTGAAGGGCCCTATCCTTGATGACAAACAAATTGAAGGATGGTTGCAAAAATGGGGCATCTTGAAGACATCTGGAGGAGTTGATCAACTGTGTCTACAAAAGGATGGAGAGAATGTCTGTATGGAGAGAATGTCCATGATGCTTCAGGATTCATGAGGCTTGAAAAAAGCCCCTCAGTGGTATACTGACAATTACAGATAGGATTTTTGTTTACCATGTGTTTACCCTACCATTAAGCATCTTCAGGCAGTGGTGGGATCAACCATCAACCACCACTGATTCTCATCTCATCTACATATCATTTGGTTGTGTGTCAAAACCCTTTACCCCTTATTAACACCAAAATAGATCAAAATAGTTGGTAAATGGTTTTCATCCGAGTTCATCCTCCCAAATATGGTATAATGATATGTGATGATGTCTCATAATCTATAATAACATATGATAATCATATGATATCTAATATCCGACATATCTAATGGGTGTAATAATGTAACAACATCTTTGTATGATGATGTGTGTAATTGGTATTAATCCCCATTTGACTCTACAACTGAGTCCAGGACCTGAAGACCATCCCCTGGACGCGGTATGTGCCTTGGAGAAGTTTCAGGTTGGGAATTTCCAGGGCAATGTCAGCACTGAATCCCTGGAATTCGTATTGAACTTCCCTTGAACCAACATTAAGCCAATTGATAAAACAAGTGCAGTTGGAATTTCAGGACCCGATTCAATGGAGGTCCTGTGCCATTTCATTAGCCATATTTTGTGTGGATATTCCCTTACATAGACCTTACATGGATCGATATCTCTAATTTAGGTGCCTGAAACATACCTTGATTAGACCGTCTTCAATCGGGTTTATAGTTATATAGTTATATAGTTATATAGTACTATGATCTAGAATTGCATCACATATAATACTCCCATGAGAATCACGGAATATTGCTGGCAAGTGGGGTTATCAATGAGCCAACGGCTGGTGCTTCCAGGAAGCCATCAGCCGAAATCATGAGATCACTGGGTTCCTCCTGGCTTGACATGGCAATGAATTCCGGGACGAACTAGTGACTAATAATGACTAATAATGATTAATAATTAACCCCAGAGTGAACCAAATTCTTCAAGATCTTTCGAAAGCCAGGAATTTTGGGCTTGGTCTTTGGCATGTCTAAGGAGTGGTTTTCCTCCAGTTGGTCCTCATCTAAGCAAGTTCTACGTGATGTTGACAAGTAATCCAGCCCAGCGGGCTACATAACCCTCCCATGTAAGAATCTATATCCGTCAAAACAGTGGGTTCTTTGCGCACAATCTTCATTTAATTCTCCAGTTTATAGTAATTTTATAGTAATTTTTATAGATGATTTACATTGATTTACCCATTTCAACCGAAAAAAACCAGAGCTTGGTCAGGTCGTTGGGGCTCAGATCACCGAGGGCACCATTTGGGACCAGGTTTGGAGGGCTCCATTCGTGGACTATTTTGAAATAGTGTGAATCTTTTTGATAAATCATGATAAATCTAAGATCCGGATATTTTCATGAATATTTTTCATATTTGAATCATATAACTGGATGATTTTTTTGGGTATTTGTGATATGGATCATTCTTAGTTAATGTTGGATGTGGTGACCCATGATTGATTTTGAAGGAAACGTGACAACAAACCTCTGATCGGGATGATACAACCCATTTTTGCTTGAATTCAGGTTTCTACTTGATATGAGAAAAAGTTCTAAGGATTGACAATAGTGTGTATACTAGTTGATGCTAAAAATTGTTTGGCGAATCATCTCAGAACATTTAGAAAAGGGGTATTGGAATATATACGGACCACGCAATAGGAATCATGCACATTTATCTGATTATATCAGATCATATCTGATTATGTAGTAGTGAGTAGGCTTATGTTTGCCAAGTCATACATGGACACACTGGGCAGGGGTATCTGAGTTGGTCGTCTAAACGGTATACAATGGAAAACAATGGACATTGGAAACAATAGAATGAGGGTGGCACTACATAACAAAAATGGATATGGTGCAAAAATTGGCTGCCCGCAAGTGGGATGGTTTCCAAATTGTCCCAGCGCATGCGCATGTGAGCAAATCCCAACGAGAGCACCAGGTCCGGCCCAGACTGGTTGATGATGGTTGATGGCTACAGGTGGACTCACTGGTTTGTATGTATAAATCCAATTAGTATAGTATCCAACAAATGATGGATACAAACCACTCCAATACACGCCAATATAGTATCGATGGTTGATGGGACCATACATACTCTTGTATAGTATCCATTCTGTGAATCCCACGATGACCAACATCCGTGAGTAACACTCCGGTTGGTTAGCCGCTTGGCCCGCCCCCATTGTTCCGGGTCCACGGAGTCCAACGGCCCAGCGGTGTACTGCACAGGTGAACGAAGTCTATGAGCACGACCATATCATGGAGGCCTTTCCGATAGGAATCAAGGGCAGAAAAATGAGGATTGATGATGGGGATGTATTTATATGTAATTAACTATAGTAATTAGATGGATTCATACTTGCTTTGTGAGAAATGGGTTAGAATATTGGACCTTTACAATTTGCAACCAACAGAAATAGGAATTAAGCCAACATAAACCAACTGAAATCGGGACAGGATGGGATATAATGGCATACAACCAGCAAGATGGGGTGTAGAGGTTTGTTTCAAGATAAGGAATGCTTCGATACAAGGACTTTTCAATGCGAGGAATAATGCTAAGCCATGGGATTTGTTGGCGGTTCCCCATTTGGAAACAAACTCATATCATAATTGTGGCGAGCTCTCCGCAATCGCACTTTGAATGCTGATTTGTAGGCTACATGTAGGGGCCACAGGAGCAAGTTTACAACCATGCATTTGACAGAGGCTTACAGCACATATACCTAAATGCAGAACAACAGAAAAGAAAGCCGCGCAAAACTGACTTCATACAATGCTCAAGATGCACTCTGTCACAGAAGTGTACTGGCCATAGGCCTGGTGCTGCGACAAATCTACGAGTTTTGCAATCTCAAACAGCTCAAGACCCCTTTGCTGCAGGAAGCATTCAGGTCGCTCCACTCCAAAGCTCTCAGAAAATGCTTTCCCTCGAGCTAGCAGTTTCCTCTTCTTTGAGCCACGTTTCTCTTGAGCTATCGGACTATCGCTTCTTTGTGCCACTGTTTAGGACATCTTTTCTCAACAGACCCGACCCAGCGAGTGCCAGGCACTGCCCATGGATGAGATCGAGAAACGCTTTGGCAAAGCCACTGGCAGAGTCCTCAGGTGTTGACTGCTCGTTCAATAGGGATCAAACCTGGGGTGTAATGGGTACATATCGTCAATGCATTGGTTGGTGGTTTTTGACATGTGTTGTTTTCCATCCTTAGGGGTATGACTTTCTGGTGCACTTGGGAACAGCATGACTTTGAAGAGCTTCTCTGCCCGATGCAGTGTTTGCATCGCCATAACAGAAATTGCGGCAAAGATGTTTGAGATTTTGCAGGTGTGGGCCTCATTCATTCTGCATTTGTCTGTATATTTACATCTGTGTTCTTTGAATCTTAACCTGCATGATTCTGTATCTGAACATGATCTGTCCATTTTGCCCCAAGTTGACATTTCAATGGGGATGATAAACACATTGGATTTTTGAGGTTCCCATAGGTTCCCTATGTTTGGACAAGCCGCAGCTTGGTGAGGTCAAGGAGTGGCTGTGGTAAAGAAGGAGGTGAAGAAACCCAAGCAGCTGGGCTCCTAATATGAAGGATGTTCATCGATTTTCCACGCTAAACTGTTTACACCTTTGATATCTTCGGGATGGCTTGAAACATGTTGAAACATGTTGAAACATGCTGAAACCACCAGGAATACCTCGGACATTTCGTTGGGGAGACGACGTAGGTTTTGGTGGCAAGAGGTCATGATCCATGGGATACACAGAAGACTAGTGGCTGATTAAGGACTAGGATATACTGCCGAGGAATTCTCGAATATGACAACTTGAATCAATCTGAAATGGCAATGTTAATGTCCAATAGGAGAATCATTTCCCATCATGTTCCCAACCACTCTTGGTGTTACAGGTGAAACACCTCGAAAAGGCCATATACTATCCTTATGTCTATGTAATGAATTATTCAACCAGCCAGGATTTTGGGGGTGGATGCGGTGTGACACTGATTATTTTACCCATTTTAACCCCATGTTCAGAATGATTAACCTCCAAAAATCTCCAAACTCGGGGCCTTAAGAAGTTTAAGGAACCCTTTTGTATGCAACCCAAGGGATCTTCTTCACAGTCCAATTTGAGGAACCCTTGCAGGTCAAGCCTTTTTTTGGTCCTTGAGGACTGTGAAGTTGTCCAGCATTGCGCAAGAGCAGCGCTTTCAGATCGAAGTCTGTCTCCGCTGCCTGGTTGGGGATCGCCAATGGGCAAAAGGGGGCCTATCACGGATATATCACGGTTATCACTTAAGTCAGTTTATATGATTTATGTATGTATATAATTATATATACGATATATATATATATACATATTAGATAAATGAATAAAAATAAATAAATAAATTTAAATAAATAAATAAGTTTAAATAAATTCATTAAATAAATATAAAAAAAATACTTTACTTCGAGTGATCCCCACCATGACATTTATACGTTTTGTTACTGGCAAATCTTCTGGCATTCTATCTGACATATCTTCTGACATTCTATTTGGCATTCTACCTGGCATATCTTCTGGCATTCTCTCTGGCATATCTTCTGACATCCTATCTGGCAATCTATCTATCTGGCAAATCTTCTGGCATTCTATCTGGCAAACATTCTGGCACTTTATCTGGCATACCTTCTGGCATTCTATCTGACATTCTATCTGGCATACCTTCTGGCATTCTATCTGGCATATCTTCTGGCATTTTATCTGGCATATCTTCTGGCATTCTATCTGGCATATCTTCTGGCATTCTACCTGACATATCTTCTGGCATATCTTCTGGCACTCTAATCTGGCATATCTTCTGGCATATCTTCTGACATTCTATCTGGCGTTCTATCTGGCATATCTTCTGGCATTCTATCTGGCCGTTGAGGTCCAGCAGTGCCGGTTGAGGTCCAGTGGTGCCTGAGCAAGGTCCCAGGTTGAGGTAATATGTATCAGGGTTCCAAAGTCTGAATTTTCCCCACAAAACAGGGGGTGGGGTATGCTCCCTATAGACCCCACAGCCGACCCCATTCTGTAGAATCCAGTAGCCTAGATTCATGATTATTTGTAGATTTCACGCCGCAATTTGTCTGCAAATCGGTTTTGGAAACCCAGGGCCGTTTGATAAACTGCCATCCTGTTTTGTGGGATTGGCGGCAGTGATATCTATAGAGAGGGTGGCCCCCTGCATTTTGTAGACATAGCTTCAAAATTGTAGAGTTATCCAAGTTGCTATTTCCATAGCAAAAAGGGAGAACATGTACTTGCAACAAAGGCCAGATGGTTATATCCCTATTAAGAGATGTTATCATCAGATCCCTCGCGGCCCAGAGTTTCTCATGGCTTGAGGAACTTTGCCAGTGGGTCTCAACACAGGAAGCAAAGCAGCACGTGCCATTCAGGAGATTCTGAATGATCCATCCTTGGTAGTGGGTTGATGTTGATAGCCCACAATCATCACGAAATGCTGCCAATTTTTGGGATATTTACAGTCCCTGAAAAAATTGAGATCTTAAGATATCTTCGAGCTCTAAATTGTTAGCCATTTGCGTTCTTTAGGAGGCATTCCAGAGATGTTTCTGTAGATTGAGATGCTCAAAATTCAAAAGTGCAGCCGAGGATGAGATTACAAATCCGGGGGTCTGAATGGAAAATCAAGCATTTTAGGGTGGCATAGAAATTGGCCACGCAAGCAAGCTGACTGGTTTTCTCGCATTGTTTTGTGGGTGGGTAACGCATTGCATGGGTCCAGGTATTATGTGAAATGTATTGGTTGTGTATCGGTGATTGGTGGCTATTTTGTATCCGGACAAGTTTTATAGATTCATTTCTACCAAATTTGTTTGGCGATGCAATCAGCCGTGCATCATTCCCATTGGTGCTCTCAAATTCACTGATTTTAGGAGTTGATCTCATCGTGATGGCGACACCCCGGAGCGCATCCTGATTTCTGCTGGATATATCAGTATTTTTTGGGCTACACCTCTTTCTTGTAGATTAGTTCCCGATTCTTTGTGTTTTGGGGTTGATAAGATCAGCATGGTCTTTTCGAATATAAAGATTATCAAGCCTGGTCCCGTTCTAAACCTGATTCCCATTTATATACATGGGCTAGCTGTGTCCAGCATTTTTGCCAGTTTGCTTCCCGCATTTGCTGCTTATCTCAGATACCTGCCAATTTTTGATCTGGGGTTAAGTCGTAGCATTGCTGTTTTGTCGTAGCAGATCAGCGTGTGCCTTGCAGAACCGCATGTTTGAAAACTTGGTTTTATGATACTATATGTTGAACAGATTCTGATATTTTGGTCTTGGGTGAGCGTGTGCCTTGCAGTGCTTTCTTCCGTGTTGTTTGGTACTGCATTTTTGAAGGTTAGAATTGGTGCTACATTGCTGCTAGACTGCTGCTGGGCTGCTGGGGTGTTGCTGGGCGAGTGTTGCTAAGCTGTTCTCAGAAACCGTTTGTTACTGGATTGCTGCAGGCTGGACTGCTCCAAGCTGCTGACAGATTGCCGGTAGATGTTCATTACTGCTGCAAAATTGCTGCTGGCAGCTGCTAGATAGACTGTGGCTGGGCTGGTGCTAAGCGGCCACTGAAGTGCTGCTAAATGTTTGCTGAATGTAGGAGCCGATAGAAGCCACAGCTAGATGCTGGCCTTGTATTTTGCATTGCTTTTGCGAGCTGGGGTTTTCAATGCTGCTTTCTGTCCTCGTTTGGTACGTGGTTTTGACCTCGTTCGGAACTTGTGATAAAAACCCACTTAGGGGCTCAGTTCTACTTTCTTTCTAGAATCGTTGGGCCATTGGGTTGTGTTACCGAAGCATGCATGAATCATGTGTTCACATGCCGGGCGCAGGCATCGGGTGAACGAAAATCATATCAAAAAACCATGCAAATGGAGAACAAAAGTCTTTGGTGGACATTGGGTGCTGAAGTATCCTGAGGATAGCGTCTCCAATATGTTTCAGAGTTTCCGGATCGCTTTCAACCCTACAAAATGATTTTATTTTGATTGCGTTTATAGATTTCAAACCCCTACTTATCAAGCGGTTGCATGGTGAGTTACATGAGAAACACATGCTCAAAACATTTAAAATGAATAGGAATTCCATGCTGAACGGATCAAAAACAGTACAATATGAGCCTGGGCCGAAGCCGCGTACACATGGGGAAAGGCATCACGCGGCTATGACTAAAAACGAGCGGCCGTGACTTAAACCATTTGCAGCGTACACACAGAAACAGGACCCTGGCAATGACTTAAGACGAGATGCTATGACTTAACCCTGCCGCTTGTAGTGGCTGGTGGACCCGATCCCATTTTTTTGTGAAACTCCCATGTTGTTTGCTTGAACAAAGACAACGAAGCTCGTGCTTCACTGTGAATTCCAAATATTTTCTGGTTCAATCTTAATTTTAGTTGATCGCACCCCATACTTTTTGCCACAAAATCCGGATTTGGGATCATTATATTATCAATCCTCAGCTCAGCAGGTAACAGCTGGTAACAGCAACCACGACCCTGTCAGGACTTGGATCGCAGCGTTATGAGCTGCGAAGCCATGAGTTCACTGCGACGTTTCCTGTGCCCTACAGATGAGCAGGAGCCAATTGGTGTGGAAGAATTTTTAGCAGCTGGGATGCTGGGATGGACATTTGGCTGGTTATGGCTGGTTATGGCTGGTTTAAGTGCACATGTATGATATATATATATACATATCATATATACGTATGTAGAGTATTTTCTTGCCTTTTCCGCAGGAGGCTCCATCACTCCCGCAATTTTGCTTAGCCACTTGTGCGAAAATGCACGCAAAAATACACACACACATACACACATACACACACAGACACAGACACACACACACACACTCTTTCTTATCATCTTTACAAGTAGAACCCGCGCAAGGCGGGTGGCGGAAGTTTCCAGGTTTAAGAAGTGTGACGCTATAGGATCCAGAAACAGGTTTGCCTGGAGCTGCGGCAGACTTCCATGCTCTTTTCCAGGACTTCTGACCTCTTGTCGCAAATCGCGAAACCACTTCTCAACTCTCCCAACGGCTTCTCACCTCTCGTCAACTCTTTTCAACGACCTTCATTTCTGTGCACATCTTCTTGACTCTCCTCAACTCTCTTCTCATCTCCCTTCTCCTCTCAACTCCTTTCAACTCGTGTTGACTCACCTCACCTCAGTTCCGCCTGTCCAATTTTTTCTCAGCCCAGTCGAAGTGACACAGTTGCAAACTTTCTTGCTCACGCCAGTTGAATTGCCTTTCCATTCGATCATGGTTTCAACATTCGATTGTGTTTTCATTCTCGTGTCATGTACTATCATTCAATCCTACTGGACGGTTGACTGTTTCCTTAGGAACTTGTACAGAAAGAATCGGTTTTACACAGCGAAGCGTTTACACAAAGAAAGCTATCATACAAAGGAACCTTTAGACAAAGAAAGCTTTACACCAAGCAATGTTTTACACACAGAAGCTTTACGCAAAGCAGCTCTTACACAGAGAAGCTATTACACAGAGCAAGCTCCAAAACCGGATCTCGACACCCAAGCGGAAAAAACACGATTTCGAAGCACTTTGTAAAAATAATTTTGATAGCAAAATCATCTTCGCCAAAATGAAGAAATTGCCAAAGCACCATTCGCAACTTTCACGCAGACATTACAATAAGTTTACGGCTCTCAGCTGCAAAAAACACAAGTATTGCGCATGCAGCCGCAGCAGCGAGGAACCTTGACGCAGCCATTCCACTGCGATCTGCAGAGACTGAGTTGCAGAACACACTAGACTTGCAACACACTACTGTGGAACACATCGTTTTGATGCACCAGTTCCAATGCACAAAGTGTCGCAACACATGCAAAGTACCATAGCACAGCGTCAACAAAGAAGAGAAAAAGTCACCTGGAACCCTCCGTTCCACTGCGTGCGCAGTTCGAGACAGATTCCACGGCAAAGCGGCGACGCCCGCACCCTCCGTCTACCCGAAAAAACATAATGTTTCGTGCAAATCCTAACATTCAAATCGCATCCATGATGTAGCTGTTCCAATGCTATCTGCCAACCGTGACTCGCAAACAACAATCAGAATCGCAAGACAATACTGAAGAACATAAACCATACTCTTCTCTACTCTAGTCTTCTCTTCTCTAGTCTTCCTTAAGGCACATGCCCACTGGACACAATGATCTCTGGGCTAGTGAGAATCTGACTTTATGATCTCTTAAGGCACATGCCAACTGGACACAATGATCTCTGGGCTAGTGAGAATCTGAGTTTATGATCTCTTAAGACACATGCCAACTGGACACAATGATCTCTGGGCTAGTGAGAATCTGACTTTATGATCTCTTAAGGCACATGCCAACTGGACACAATGATTTCTGGGCTAGTGAGAATCTGAGTTTATGATCTCTTAAGACACATGCCAACTGGACACAATGGTCTCTGGGCTTGTGAGAATGTGGCTTCATGATCTCTTAAGGCACATGTCAACTGGACACAACGGTCTTTGAGCTAGTGAGAATGTGACTTCATGATCTCTTAAGGCACATGCAAATTTGACACAATGATCTCTGGGCTAGTGAGAATGTGACTTCATGATCTCTTAAGACACATGCCAACTGGACACAATGATCTCTGGGCTTGTGAGAATGTGGCTTCATGATCTCTTAAGGCACATGCAAATTTGACACAATGATCTCTGGGCTAGTGAGAATCTGACTTTATGATCTCTTAAGACACATGCCAACTGGACACAACGGTCTCTGAGCTGGTGAGAATGTGACTTCATGATCTCTTAAGGCACATGTCAACTGGACACAATGGTCTCTGAGCTGGTGAGAATGTGACTTCATGATCTCTTAAGGCACATGCCAACTGGACACAATGATCTCTGAACTAGTGAGAATGTGACTTCATGATCTCTTAAGGCACATGCCAACTGGACACAATGATCTCTGGGCTAATGAGAATGCTCACTTTCCGTAACTCGGAGTTTCCTCCATGAAACTTCCTTTGACCATATGGCATATATTGGTTGGCTCGACATGGTTCAACTACATCGAAATATCAAAGGATCTTTATCCCTCATAGAATGGATGATTAGAGATGATTCCTTAACAAGCACGTAAGTGGAGGGCGCTGATGGAAATTGTAGTAAAGGTGGTTTGGATGTAGTGGCGCTTGGTATTCAACTATGGAGTGAGGGATAAGAGTCTAAAAAGAGATGGATGATTAGAAAGATATACTGTAACTATAATCACTTGGATTTCTCTTTCAAGGGAGAAATAGTGGAGCAATGACTTTGTGATACTTCCCCAAAATATCTCAGTTACGTTTGGCCAAACATTCATGGACCGAGCAGAGGCATCGCAGGTGACCTCAGTGCAGCAAACATGGATTCATCGCCCTGCGAGGAGCAGGAATTGAGGGCCAAACGCCGAGAAAGATCGGAGACGTCACTTGGTCCTGGAGTCATTTGAGAAATAACTCTTCGAAATGAGAGGCTATACATGACTATACTGTATATACTATGACTACCATGGCGTTTAAGTTAATTTGACATAACCAAACAGTATCATGATGTATCATGTGTATCATGTGTATCATGGGATGTAGATATGGATCCGTTCAGTATTGTGTGCATACTGATGCAGCAGCGGCTTCCAGGCCAGAACCTTTGATTTGGGACCCCGTGGAGCAGTACATGGAGGAGCCGCTGTGGTTTGAAACTTGGGGACACTGATTTTCTGAAGGGGTTGAAATGAGATGAACATCCAACTATACGACTAGTATCTACTAGTTTTATGTAGTTTTTGTCGTTCACCAGGGATGATTTATTGGTGTGATCTGGGAAATTATATTTCCACTGGAATTGGACATCTACTGAGATTCGATTTTGGACCTCAGAGGTTTAGGTGGGTGATGCCTGAAAGTGTTAAACGGTTTGGACATTAATTATTTCCGATTGTTTTCCTAACTACAAGCCATATACCAATCGTTCACATATTGATATATATATATATGTGTGTACATACATATGGTATCATAATATGGTGATGATCCAGCATATGTGCATCTTATATGATACCAATCCAAAAATTGACGCCATTCCTGGCGAGAACATATTTACAATATATTAAATTAAAGCAACATAAACCAACTTAAATCCTGTTTTTGTTCATTTTTGCTGCCCAGTGGACAACAGGAGTTGCTGGTCATCAGTGGCTGTTCGCTGCGGCTCAGTTGTTGGGAGTTTTTGTGCCTCGGCAGTGAAGATTTGACAGAGCTACACTGAGCCACAAGAACTTATCAACATCTTGGTATTCAATCTTTGGAAAGTATGTTTAAGTATGTTTAAGTAGGAATAACTTTAGAGGTCCGGTTCAACCATGAAAACAAGGGCGGTTTGAGCCACCAAAGGGAATTATTGAATTACTAGCAAACTTTGTAGCCAGTCGCCTGAACTGCGGGCCACTGCCCCTCATGACCCTTCGCAGAATGGTGGAGGCCATGCATTCCATCAGCAATGGACATAGCGACCATTTTGCTCTTCAAAAATCAATCCATCAGGGGTACTGCAGCCAAAAAAAACTCATAGTGGGGATATAGCCTGATTTTTGGTCTTAATTAGATATCATCATTGCATTTCCACTGCGGAACAAACATGGCAAACACCTGGTTCGCATATTCCCTGAAATCCTGGTAGTCTTCCAGTTTGACCCCCCGGGAGATTGCTATCTTCTGACCCTCCTACTGAGCAGTGCACGACATCTGGTGTTACCTTGATCCGGTGCTTCGTGAATAGGGTTTTCTACGGATTGTTGGGATCTCGTTGAGCCATGGAGCTGAAATAATCCAAGTAGTTTTGTCAGTTTTGTCCCAGAAATGGTCAGACATTTTGCAGCCAAAAAATGTGTTTGAGAGTAAAAACGCGAGGCGAAAGAACTCGTTTTTTCTGGCTGAAAAAAAGAAAAACGCGATCTTCCAAGGTACAACCTGTCCGAGCGGCTAGCTCAACTGCAGGCTGGGCTTCAGCGTTCGGTAAACATGCGCTGCGGAATGGCCGTTGATAAGCATGATAGACACAAATACGTCAGTCTAGAAAATTTAGGGCAACCCAGCCAACTCTCCCCAAGAACTTCTGTTTGCGAAACTAAGATGCCCAAAATCCAGTGGTTTCCTGAACAATCCGAGTTGATGTGTTTCTTTAGGTCTTAGCCATGATTCAGCAAGCACTGCATTACATGATGCTTGTGTCAAACAGGTTGGAAGTACATATTAGCAGGATTGCAGGGTAAATGTTATTATGTGCTGCACACACATACGACATATACGTACATATACATATATATATATTATATCGAAGTAGAGACAGATGCTGATATTTGTATTTTTTGTCCGCAAGCACTAGTGAAGCTAAGTTGATCAGCCTCATAATCTCATACATGTATACGATGCCAAGGACAAGGGCTGGCATGTTTTCTTGGCTGTCCCAATCTTCAATCACCAAAAGAATGACCACTTCGTTTGGCAGAGGGTTCCTATCAACATCCGCTCTGCTGATAGTGGAACTCCTTTTTGGTGCCGCCTAAATATGACAAACGCATTGGCCTGCCTTCTTTGGTGTCAATTGCAAATGGTAACGGCAAGCTCATGTGTTTTACTTTACTTCATGATTTTCCATCCCTCTCTTGAAAGATTGAAGCCAGTTGGCCAAATGATAGATACAGCTGATACATAGAATTCTTGGCCTGATTTGCCATGTTGATCCTTCTAATATGTGTGTTCCTATTACAGCAACCTGTCTTTGGCTCAATCAGCCCTTTGCCCGATCAGGAGAATTTGCAGCGCTTCGAACGTATGGTCTCTTGGACTTTAAAGATACGAGTGCTCGGTACTACTGATACCATGCGTTTCCTGTTTTTGTTCATGGTGTCTTAGACGGTGGGACAGAATGGAGCAGAATGGAGCAGAATGGAGTAGAATGGATCAGAATGTGCTATAATTGAGTCATAGCTATAATATGTTATGATACGTGTGGAATTATATATATATATATATTTATTTATATTTATATTTATATTGATATTATATTTATATTGATATTATATTTATATTTATAGCATTTTAATATATTACACACATATATAGATATATATTATCTAATATCATAAATTCACCTTCCATTCATTTAGCTGGAGAGAGAGAGAGAGAGAGAGAGAGAGAGAGAGAGAGATAGAGAGAGAGGAGATAGGAGCGAGTAGAGAGAGAGATAGATAGGAGAGTATAGATAGAAGAGTATCTAAGAGATATGCAGTATAGATAGCACAGATAGAGTGAGAGAGAGAGAGTGTTAATCCAATGGTGGCCCAGGTGCGTTGCTTTCTGACGTCCACGGAGATTCCAGTTCTGCTGAGTTTGGTGTTAGCTTTTGGCAACTATCTCAACGGTAGCCTGGACTGACTGGATCCAAACCTTTTGCTACTGGACGTGGGGAGTAAAAATGGTATGGTTAGATAAGTTGGCTTTATCATGTTCAATTGCATGGTGCAACCTCGGCCTTCTATCTCTACTTCACTGAGTGTCAAAGTATGCTCTGGGGTTGAAAGTGCCCACGTGCTTTTGTCGGAAGAACCTTCTCCCTTGACAATTTATGATATAGTACTTTTTGCTAAGTCCTCCACTGAAATACTTTTTGGGCGAACCCCAAGCTCAACCACAAAGGTGGAGCATGATGAATCCGCTCCCACGTCCTGGATTGGAAATTGCAAGGGATTGATATGACCCAATCACTCCCGTGAGCAATGATAGGTTAAATTGGATTGATTGATCCCAGTGAGTATACCAACTATACTCACTGGTTGAATGGGCAATGTGGATTGTGGACTACCCGGACTACCCTGAGAAATGGAAATCCCACCCTCAACCACGCAGTATGCTTGGCATGGGGGAAAGTGTTGAGAAAGTTTTGGGCATTCTTCGAATCTAAGATTCTTGCAAAACTTCTCCCACTTGATCTTGTGTAATTATGACATCCGTAGTCGACTTATCCCTTGATTGCAAGTGGGTCCACAACAACTGAAACTGAATTGACTCTCAGATTAGGCTTCGGTCCCCACCTTTGAGGACCCAAATGTTGCCAAACGTGACAGCCGATGCAACTCTAGTTCAATTGGCGCAACCACTGTCACTATACCTATTTTCACTCTATGAGTACGCGTATACCTATAGTATACCTATATGTGCCAACGTACGAGTAACACTGTAGAGACTATCTTTACATATATATATACATAGGAGCTGAGCAGCTGCTGCATCTCCCAGTGCTCTGCGGCCTGCTTGCCATGGCACAGCGTGACGAGCCTCAGCATCAGGGGCTATGACCGAGATTTTTCAGAGCTATCGGCCCGGCTCCACCACCAGGTCTGAGTGGATTTGGACCGCACGCGAGCTTTTTCCAGGGCGAGCCGCGTCTATCGGTGGCAGCAATGCTTCTTCGGATCAGGCCATGTCAGGCTGCACAGCTATTTATATATCATATATATATTTGTATATAATATAGAGGCTTCGCTATTTAAGTGAACCTCTGCACCACACTCCCCGGAAAGGCCTCGCCGCCGTGCCCTTTGTGGATCGTTTGCACGGAGCTAAGGTGGTAAGAACGAGAAACGATTGGGACGTGCCGATGGCTTCCATGTGGAGCTTTTAGGCGCGAGAAACAGCCAGAAACCTTTCAGTGGATGGGGACATCAGTTTGCAAGCTTTGGAGGATACCAGGTTTTCATTAGTTTAGTGATTAACCACTACGGAACCATTAGTAACCATCTTCTGGGGCCCCTTCTAAGTCGGATATGGATAAGTTGGGAGTACCCACAAATGGCCCGCAGTCACGAGCTGGGCCGTCTTTCCAAGGATGTGATGTTTGGAATGTTCGTGCTTTTGTATAGCCACGAAAGTCCAGAGCAATGGCGGCTCAGTGGTTTCCAATATGTTCTAGAAGTATCTATGACTATCTATGAGTATCTATGAGTATCTATAAGAATCAAAAAGTCCAGTGCACCTGTCAAGTTTCAATGTGGCAGAAATTGCTGTCCTACTGCTGTCCTTACCTGGCACCCTGCGGTGCTTTCCTTGTCCAGGGGCCACACCGGGAAAAATGGATTGCAATGGAGGCAACCCGTCAAAGTGTTTTTTCTGGTACTACGCACGTTAGCAACGTTTGGTCCCAAATTGAACAATATTCACCCATAAGTACCCCCAGACATTGAGGTGCAAAACAGTCTGAATCAAGGTTGTGTCATCAATGTGTACACAGATACAATTGCACACCAGTATGGGTTTGTCTGAGAATAGCCCTGGTACCCGTACCCCATTACAAACCATCATCATTTTTAATTGTTACGATTACCAACAGTGTATTATCATAAAATACCCTCTGGTAATTCGATAATAGCAGAGAATGGATGCCCATTAAATCCATACGCGACTTGTCTATTAAAAGTTCAAACATGATGATTTTCCAATGGTGTTCCATTAAATCCATCATATTTCCATAGCGAAGTGCACCAAATTTCCGGGCTTTCCGCAGGTCGACCTGGGGGATTGGACCTGGTGAACGACACCCAGGGCCGTAGCTGTGCTGAAGGCTTTGACGGTTGAACAAGTGGATTCATATATCAATCCGTTTGTAGATTTATATGTAGATTAGTGTTGATTAATGTTGTACATCTTATAAACTATTAATGTTCATAATCCAACATGAACATAAGATGTGTGCATATATGAATATATATAATTATATAGTATGTCAATATTTATATATGTAGAGTCATGTTAATATGATATAGCCACTGGCAATTACATTAGAGAACTATGTTTGTATATATATATACATATCAATATTATATGGGGATGATGGTTAGGGATTATATGGGATTATGATATTATTAAGCAACCGCAATGGGGATTAGTACAATATTAGCCCAACGGGATTACAATTATTTGTAGTGAGGATTTCAATGGTCCGATATGCATATACAAAAATGGGATCCATACACAAGCGACAGAAATGGGGCTATGCCAGCCACAATTGAAATACATACATAACATTGAAATATTACGGGATATAATAGGGGATATGACCAGCACAATTCGCTATGACTATGGTTCAACGTCGGGGTACCAATGGAGCCACACAATGGTTAGTGATTTTGGGAGTTGCTATGTCTGAGCGTAGAATCTAGGTGAACCCTTGGTGAATGGTTGGTTCATGTGTTGATGTTCAGTGAAACCGGGGGATTTAAGCACTAGACTGAAGCAACCAACAATCTGATTGAACTTTGGAATGGCTAGTTAATTGGTTGTTGTTCAAGGATCGCTGTCGGCCTTTTTTGAGAATGGGGGTATACCAAAACAGATCCGGCATCAATTTCATATTAGCGTTTTGCACAACATGACTCCACCGGCAAGCAACGTTTCTTTTAGAAACTGCAGCCGCAGGTGGACAGAAGTTTGCCACCCAGCAATGCTCATACTACCTGTGGGATTGTAGGCAGTCGTACCTTTTTGTGGTGACATTTGCTTACATTTGCTTTATTACTTTTTACTTTTAGTATCTGCGTTCAATGGGATGGCAAGAGTCATTGAACCAGTTGGTGTTATATCAATTTTGTCGGAGCACCTAACATTATCTTTTTTTTTGATGCATTTGAAAGGTACTCTTAGTTGATGAGGCTCGGAATTTGATATGGGGATCTCACATTAATAAGAGTTATCCTCATGAATAGATACTGTTTGCAATAGATAATTCGGCCTTTATTTGGATAATCTTTCTTCGTAAAAAACATGTTAATTTTATAAACTGTCCAGAACCCAGGTAATGTGCGCCAATTGATCTTTGAGACCTTCTGCGAGAAATATCCCAGCGGCTAAACTGCAAAAAACCAAAGTTGGCGTTTCTAACCAGCAAAAACGGGCACACAGCTCCTTTAGCTCAAGGCATTCAACCAACAAAAATAATGATAGTGAACGGAATTAAAATCCTGGTGTTTGATTTTTTCCGTTGTTTCATTTTTTCAGGATAGAAACAGACGTTTGTTGGCCCATTCTTAGGTGAAGCCTTTGAATTTGGACAGTGCAATCCACAGAAAATCCATGGTTTCCTGAGTTGAACCAAATGAAAAAAGTCAGGATGCCAACACCTTTTCCAAATTTTCTCCCAGATGACCTGATTCTGAGGTCACTCAGAACGCCTTTTCGAAGAATTGGCGCCTGTGTTCGACTTGGCAGCTCGGCAGAATTGTGTGCGTGTCCAGATTTCTTGGAGGATAAAGTCTGGGCATGCTCGAGAGCAAAGTTTGTGTGATTTGCACTTTGCAACCAAATGATTCATTGGTGAGTGTTGGTATCCCTATTCTAGTTGGCTAAAACTCCATTCTTGTTCGTCAAATCCACATACATGATTGTTTCATCTATGTTTCGCTTGCTATTCCTATCTCCAACTGATCAACTGGCCCCAACAAATCAGCTTGGCATCTGCTTGGCCACGGAGGTCCAACGCCGCATCGGCAAAGATGCCCAAGGAGTTCCGGCACTAAGGACCGGGCCATGACAGCTGGAGAGCTGGAGATACTGTAGACATTGGTTAACCCATCCCAATTATAGTTATGTGTATATGATTCATATTTGATTCATTTGATTATGTATACAAATATACGGGGTATCTTGATAAGACTGGGATTCAGTCGGATAGTTGCAGAATGTGGATATGGTCCATCAAACATGGGGATTCTATGGGATATTATATTGACACAACAAAAATAGGCCTTTGACATCCTTTCAACCACTCAATGCGGAAAACAAAACAGCCATGATAGTGACATGGGGTCATAGCACCTGGCTTAACTTTTATTAACATCATTAGTCATGGGAATCCTTTTGAGTTGATCGTTTTGAAAACTCCAGCAGCGAGGTTGTGAAAGCTGCTCACATGATGAAATTTCATTTTATCAAAGTGAGACGCCGTTTCCAAGGATGGTGCACTCTTTTGATAACAGTGTTGTTTTGAGTCGAAATTTCCAATTCTACACGGATGTTCCTGTTGTTTACCAAGCTGCTTAGTGATGTCATGTTTGAAAAGATCCCTCCTCGAGGAGATAATCCATAGATAATCCCAAACCGACTAGTGGTTTTGGAACGCCTTGGACTCCAAGCCGAACTTCGCAGGAAAAGTGTCAGGGTGGAGATCGAAGATTTGGACAAGCAACTGAGTGGCCTGGCTGGTGCTGGATAGTGTACTGGGTGATTGTCCATTGTGGGGAAATGTGAGGAATAAGGCCTTCAGCCACTTGAAATACTATTTAAGTCCTCGATTAAGTCGTGGTTTATCGTGGTTTCCATGTTGGAATTTTGCTGGATTTGTGTGAAGTTCTTGTGATTAAAGTAGACTCACGGGTACCTCATTGGACAACGCGCACAGGCGTGGCCACAGAACATAAGAGAACCCTCTACTCATGCCAATTTAAATGTGGAGATATATGATTTCGCTATATGTGGAGCCAAAGAATAAACTTGTCTACCTGTACACAACATCGCATCCATTTGTGCTTTATGCTATGTATTTATGGTAGTGGTGCTTTCAAAGTCCGGGAAGTTTCATGTGTTTGTTTGCATGCGATAGTTCCCAAACAGCAAAACTTTGCTATGGAGTTTTTAGCCCAGATTAGCTCCGGTGCGATCCGGTGCAGCTTCAACACCAGGTTCCGGAGGGTTCTGGTGCTGATACCTCGTGAGGTTCCGGAGGGTTCCGGTGCAGATACCTTGCGAGGTTCTGGAAGGTTCCGGTGCAGAGACCTTGTGAGGTTCCGGAGGGTTTTGGCGGAGAAGATGCTTGGTGAGGTTCCGGAGGGTTCCGGTGCAGATACCTTGTGAGGTTCCGGAGGGTTCTGGTGCAGATGCTTTGTGAAAATCCAAAGGGTTCCGATGTTTTTTGTGGCATCAGCACTTAATTTTGATGGCACAAGCGATTATTTTTTTTGACATAAGCACTTTTTACGGCAAAAACGCAGAAGCTTTCAAGCTGTTGGGGATAGCACCTGAGTTCATTTTTCTGCTGTACTTCAAAGAAGAACGGAAACACCTGGCATTGCACGAGGCAATATCCAATAAACAACTCCACCAGGCATCATTTTGGGAAATGACAGATGAAGAGTGAGGAGAAGCTGGTTTCCAGCGATTCGATCACTTTGGGCAAGAAACCAAGAGCAAGTGGTGTCACCTCTTGGTTAAGTGTCAGTGTGAACCCTAAATCCTAGGCAGGACCACCAACTACAGCAATTTGATTATTGCAAAATCGAGGGCTATTTTCCTTACTAGTTTGTGTTAAGGCAATAAAATCCTGGCAGTTTCAAATTCTGCTCCTATTCCTATATACTATGAAGTAAACATATACAATCTTACATATTACATATAGTAGCGCTACTAGATGTTAAAATCTTCTCCCCAATCCCATGGGGGTCAGTGGCTCCACCTGACCACCATGGCCATGGCAGGTCAGTTGAAGTCGGAGTTCACAAAGAAACATCATGAGATGAAGGTGTGGCCCCTGGACATCCCGCCAAAAGAAGTTATGGCATTGTGTGCTTTATAATTGGGGATGGAACAATTGATACCTAGAAGTTGATTGATGATAATATCAACTAATTAAGCTGAAGCAAGATCGAAGGAACATGATTAAGTGAGAGTCTTCACAGGCTTGGCGTTTGCGACGCAATGCTCAACATGTGCAGTGAGAAGGCATTTAAGGGCATGAATTTTGATCCGATTTGTGTATGTTTGACCGGATTCAGTTCCCGAAATTGAACCATCAATCGAATAGTCTTGGGGTCTTGAAGTTTGATGGATACCCAGAGTCATCCCTCCGTCACAATCCAACACCATCCAATACCTAGAGAATGGTTTATTTGTCAAGCTGGTATGACAAAATTCGAGGACTAAAAATATCCTTGTCAAGGAGGGTACAAATCTAGAGGATATTGGGTTCCTACACACACTCAAATCTCTAACATCATCATTGAATCACTGGTGTTGCCTTCCGCTTTTTTTGGGTTCCCACTCACGACGATTTGTTGATCATCACTATCTGGCCAAATTGGTATGGGTCCAAAATGAAGGTGCTGCAAGCGCCATTCCTGTTTGTGCCTTGTATCAATCGGCACTCTTAGTCTTGACAGCAATCAAGAGGATGATATTGATTGTGGATGATTGATTATTTGGAGCATTGTCTATGCATGGCCAAATGATTCGCGATGTGTTTGGCCCAATGATTCGCAATGTATGTCCAGATGTGACAGCTGACAAAAACGATCAATGGAAGAGGTGCCTATAATATAGAAAGGAAAAACCATCAGGAGATGGTCATTGTGCTGCTTTCGGGTAAATGGAACTATGACCACCCTGGTTCTTCAGAGGACCCTCAAGACACCAAACTCCGGGTTTTTGTTGATTCAATGTAATTCCCCGTTTTCACTGGCTCTATCCCATTGCATCACCAAGATTAGCCTTGTTTGGTGTGCGTGGAAGCTCAAACTTTGATCATATTTTCCTGTTTGGCTGACACCCTACCAAGCTGGAACAAGTTCAGTTTTGGGTTTTTGTTGATGCAAGGTCCAAAGTTTCGACACTAACTACCGTCTTAAGCGTTTATTTTTCCTCATCTTTTTGCATTTTTTCGCATACGATCCCAAGAACTCAGACATTGCTTTAACAAGTGTCATCACATGTCACCACTTGTCTGAAAAAACACGCCCAGTGACAACACCATAAAGGTGGATGATAAGGCCCACCTGCTTGTTCTTGTTCTTGTTCTTGTCGTTGTCGTTGTTGCTGTTCTTCTTCTTCATCTTGTTGTTGTTGGTTGGTTGTGGTTGTGGTTGTGGTTGTGGTTGTGGTTGTGTTGTGGTTGTGGTTGTGTTGTTGTGGTTGTTGTTGTTGATTTGCTGTGTTGTTCCCGGGTGTGATTGAAAATTGTTCCCTTTCCTGGGCGTGATTGAAAATGCTGTGCTTTTCCAGTTCCCTTTCCCGGGTGTGATTGAAAATGCCGTGTTTTTCCAGTTCCCTTTCCCGGGTGTGATTAAAAAAGTCTGCAACGCACTTTCCTTGGAAAAACATAGGGAATCCGCGAAGGGAACTGGGAAGGGAACTGGAAGGGAACTGGGAAAGAGAAAGGGAACTGGAAAAACACAGCACTTCGTACACGCTGAAGAAAAGGAATTGGAAAAACACAACATTTTCGATCACACCCGGGAAAGGGAACTGGAAAAACACGGCATTTTCAATCACACCCGGGAAAGGGAACTGGAAAAGCACAGCATTTTCAATCACGCCCAGGAAAGGGAACAACAACAACAACAAGAAGAAAAAGAAGAAGAAGAACAACAACAACAACAAGAAGAACCAGAACAAAAACATGTAGGTAGGACAAACACAGATGTGAAACAAAAAAACGCACTTGCGCAATATCTTTCAGTACTTCATCATTAAAATCATCCAAAAGTCAGCTTCGTCAAAATCTTCATCATGAGCCTTAGTTGGCCAATTCAAAATGTTCAATGCACGTCTGTCGCCTAATTCATATCTTCGTACAATATGTGCTAATGTTGAACAAAAAGTGAAGCTTACCATTCGCTATAGAATCCTGCTGACCACCACCACCCGTAACGTAGATGGACGAATTATTCAAACCCTTATACATAGAGCAACCCCCCTCACCCCAAATATCAATGTTATTTTCTTGTTTGGTTCGTTCCTTCGAATGGACGAAATAAATCAAACCCCCAGGGCAGGAACAGCGCTACGAAACCATAACATTGAAATTCGGGGGAGGTAGGGGGTGGCCTATAACTCATGGATAGGGGTTTGAATAATTTGTCCATCTACTGTAGAGTCTTCAAACATCATACACCGGTTGGCAGTTTCAGTTGGTGTTCACTGTTCAACATCATTTGGGTTGATGATCCACGATTTTTGCTCAAGGGGGTTGAAACCACTGACCATGACATCAGTAATAATATCAGTAATAAAATAACATGTAATAACACGTAATAACCCGTGTATTTGTTGCGTCTGATGGTGATGCCAAGTGGCGTATCGTTATCGATTGGACCCACCATTCGCCCTGGCCGCAGGAGTGCCTGAAACTCATCGATGCTGGGGCGGAATTCGCTGGGCTTGCACTGGCAAAGGACAACAACCATGGCACAATAAAATGTTGTTTTTAGACTATAGTTTTTATTCTTCTAACATTTTAGATGTCTCTAGATGATTTTAAATTGTTTTAGAATGTTTTAGATGATTTTAGATGTTTTAGATGACGCGTGATGTTTTTAGAGAATTTCAGATGAATTTAGCAACAAAATGGGCAAAAATTGCAAGTTTGACCAACAAAGCTGTGTAGTCAACCCCGTGTAAACTGGGAATGTGAATATGGAAAATGATGGAAAATGATCAATGATGTTGGGTTTCGGGGTATCAACAGTTACTATGCATTGCGGGCATGTAAGCAGATGGGATGGTTAAGCAAATGCCAAACTGGGTAAGGCCCACCGGCCTGTAGGTGAACATCTCAACATCTTGGGATGTTCATCAAGGTACCATACATGGCATAGGCATGCATAGGCCAATATTGGGCAGAACGAAAGACAGTGAGTCCTCGCATCGCTGTGTAGTCCAGCTGGATGTCTCGGACGTTGCCATGCGTTGTCAGCATCTTCCAGGGAAGACCATGGAAGACCAACGAACCAAGGACAATCCCGCCGAAAAGTTTGTGATCGAGATCCCGAGAGAGTTCCGTGGTAGAGATCATGGGGTCAGGAGGATCCAAAGGAATCTAGAGGAAATGTATCCAGCATTACATTTTGATAGAGTGATTTTTTGGAGATCCTTGAAGATGGAGTTCAGCCCAGTGATGCATAGCAAATAGCTTCGACATGCTGTGACCGATCTCAGTTGCGGCAAAGTTACATCTTAATTATCTTAATTACAGTTCCGATCAGTACCCCTAGGCTGCTTCATGCTGTTTCATTGGGTGCCCATTTTAAAAAAATAGACAAACAGATATGACATATACTCACTTGCTTGTGAGGATGGCCTTCCCAACAATTAACATTAATCAACCAGGTTTATTGACCAATGGTCATCCCACGTTGCAAACTGGCACGGAAGGATCGTGACAGGTTCACAACCCCATGATGTTTGGATGAGGTTCGACGATGCCAAGCAACATATCGACGACCTCATCCGGAAGAAGGTGTCATCTGGGATCATATGGGTTCAGGAAAAATCATGGTTATTATATAATGTTATGTAAGACTCAGGGACAAATTTGGGCCATTTGATGGAAAACCTCTGCTGGTTGTATCTGTCAATAGCTTATTATTGGTGCACTACAAATGCTCGACATTCCACACAGTCCCCTGAGACAAGGAATCCACATAAAAGATGGGATGACGATTCCGCAGCATCACCTATGAACCATTGGGTCCTTCCTGTGTTGGTGATATTTTGGATTCATCAAAATTCATCGATGTGTAAACCGCAGAACATCCTTGTACCCACAAATAGAAAGGCTGCAAGAGAAGTACTTAACTATGCATCCAGTGGCTCGTTCGTGATGGTCCAAGTCCGCCTGAAGTCTTCTGGGGTGACGGACAGCCAGCTATGATGAAAAAAGAACGGATTCACCTGTGAAGCCAGAATTTTCAGTCGGGTGACATTCGAGAATCCGCCCGAATCCGCCTAGATAGAAAATGATAGAATGACGAACGATATTTTTTTTAATTCAATATATTAAGTAGTAATCACAATCATAATCATAGCAATTTTCAGAATTCCAACTCGATCTTTCAATTTTGCCATATTTTGCCTGAGCTCGGATGATTCCTTCATCATCCCAGGACACCACGCTGCAACAATTCAAGGTGGTCTTGGCTAACTTCAAAGCTGACACCTTGCTGTAGGGAGTGGCGTATCGGATGCGATGGGTCATGGGTCTCAGAAATGGATAACATTGGCGAAAAAATGGCAATGTTTAATGATGTTTATGGGATTTTATGGAGGAAATGTGGGGCATCCGTCATGTTCATGTTGTTGTTGTTGTTGTTGTTGTTGTGCCGTTTATAGCGATTTTCAGACAAACCGATATGGGATGGGTCGATACCTATGCCAGGGTTGTGACCCCGCCCATACCGATCCAGCACGGAGTCGCTTTGGGGCCGAGCTTGCACCCATGGGTTTAACTATTGAAATCACAGTTGAATGGGCGTAGCAAGATGTGCATTCGATTTGCATCAAAAATGTGGCACACGAAGATTTAGACAAGTCGGACATCAGAAATGAGGGGAATTGACATGAATTGGCCCGATTCAATTTGGAGATATTTGAAGTTGGAAGTCCAACCAGGTCTTGACCCAAGCTGCTGAGGAGACGTACCGTGGAGATTCCATCGTGGTGGACGGCCAACTCAAGGACGCTTGCGCCCGGTTGGGTCTTCGTGGGCCCAGGTGACCAGCAGCAAAAATCTACGGTAAATGAATGTAACTGACAAAGACGGGCCATACCACAAACACAGATCAAGGATCATCAAGGTGAAATTAACACACCTGGGATATGGTGTGATATGATATAGCTTGGAAAGGATTGGGACATCATGAGCCAGCAAAGATGGCAGAACAGCAGCGATACTCTTCATGCTCAACCCCGCCTGACGGTGACGCCACTCGTGCTGCCAACTCTTTATATTGGGTTGTTGGCCAGGGTTTTGCAATGCATCGATATTCGATGTCAGGCATATTTGAGGATCAGTTCAAGTATGTTTCTTGACTTAATTCAGATATACTTCAGATGTAACTATTTGTCCACCTTTTCCAAAATTCAGAGTCATCCCTGAAAAAGTAATCCTAAAATGTCGAGTCTGAATCAATGACCGCTATGTGTCCCCGGTTTCGGATGAGACCTGTTCATCGCCAGGACGGAAATCCCAAGTCCGAGATGACCAGCGAAGTGTGGTGCAAAATTTGGGATAACTTCTTTGCTGCTTGCTTGCAACCTGGGTTAATCTTGGATAGATATGGATAGATAGTTTGTGAATATTTATAGTTTAATACTCGAAGCCACTCCAAGATTTGGCAGTAAATACGGATATAATACTGACTGTTCAAAAATAAAGTCGCTAATATCTAAGACCGGCCATGCGCCCAGAGGTCATAGCGGCGACGAAAAGGGTATCTCTTTAGTGGGGTCCCCCGTAGACGAAATCAGCCCCCAAAATTGTCAGATAAAGTTGCCTTCGACAGTCAACAGGAACTTTCTTGAGAGCCCTTAAGCTTGACAGGTTACAATCGCATATGTTTTCTTGAAATTGGATCCGTCCAACTGGACATCGAAGCAACATGAGGAGGGTTTGATCAAAGTTGGCCCTCGCAGCAACAAAGTTTTGAGCGATATTCCCATGCTTGTTTGGTGCAAACCCAATTTCGAGTGCTTAAATCCTGCTGTTTCTTCATCAGAATGATTTCCGCGGTTCCTGTTGGTCAAACTTGTTTCTAATGATCTTCCCAGTTGATAAAAAGATGCCCGTATTTGATTCTGGGTTTTGAAAAAATCCAGAGTTTGTTGCTTGACATCCATATGTGTTTCGGTTGAATACTTACTGCATGTACAGTATATTTATGGCAACCCCCAAAAAGGTAGAAACTTCATATCCAACTAAAATGATTATAAATTCCGTTTCTATCCTTATGGAGGTCACTATAACCACCATTGTTTTACTTATATCAGCATATATCAGCATGATATCATATCCGCATTAATTATATCACCAATACCCATCACAATGTCATATTTCTTTATTACTCGTAGTTTACCAAAATATTGTTGATTATCTCCCCATTGTGGTTGGTGTTATATCCCCATTGTACCTCCGTGTGGCTGGTGATATCCCGCAGTCCAAAACCGGTATATCACCATTCTACCGGTCATTACATCATCATCACCATTTTTGGGCTCAGAGGTGCCTCCGGAGCGGGTTCTGAGCTTCGACGCCAAGCGGCAGAAGTCCTTGATCGAACCGCGCTTCTGCAAGGCACAGGGAAGGGATGGGCACCGAAGATGCAGACAAAAATGAGGGATTTGAAATGATTTGAATGAACAAAGAATGCATCCTAGAATATCACAAATGATGGTGTAATATGAAAAATCTCAAACCATAGGTCGATCAGCATGTTTTGATCAACATATACTATATTGTATCTGCATAGTCTGCATTTAAGTCTCTCTCTCTCTCTCTCTATATAATTCTATATATATATATATATACGGTAACGACATTTAAATATGTGGAGGGCGGGCCAGACCGAGAGGTAGTATGAAATACCAGTTCGTATATTTAAATGTAGCTACCGTATGTTTAAATGAATTGGATTCCGTATGTTTAAATGGCCGGGCGGGCCAAGGAAAACTTTCCCAGAGGTAGTCTAAAATACCTGTTCGTATATTTTAAAGATTTTAAAAGCCCGTATATTTAAATGTAGTTGCCGTACATATGTGTATATATATATACATTCTTGTTGATCAAAATTTGATGTTTGAAATGATTTGAATAATGAGGTTTTCTAGAAATAATTTAGGAATGTCATTAACAAACCTAGGGGATTTTGCCAAGCACTACACTACACCAGCCGGTGATGTTTCAAGGTTTACAGCCAGTTGAAAACTATGCACCAACTTGAACCCATTTTCTATCATCCTGCATCGCCCAATTTTTCAGAAACGTTGAATTTTGGTGCTGTTTGGGAGCCTCCTCCTTTTCCCCAAACGAAGGTCACATGAAAGGCTCAGACAGGATGCCTGTTGGTGAATACTTAGGATGATGATCGCCAAGTGCACAAATCTCTCAGGGTTTTTACCCAATGGACTTTCTTGTCAAAGATATGGAAGCCACTGGATTCAATATGCTTTCAAGTCAACGCATCCTGGGAATCTATGGATTCAATTGGTTCCATCTCCCAGCGGTCAACGCGATCAACGCTGCAGGATCAGCCTCTGACAGTGGAGAGCCTAGCGCTGCTTTGGGGTTGCTCGTCCAGTGTTCAAAACCCCTGGTTGATTGTGCGCGGTCAGATGGTGAGATTGGGCATGGGACATCCCTTCGAAACATGATTTTTTCAACCAAAAAAAATAATTACTGTAAACCCATTAAAGGATAAATATATCATAATATATCATAATATTTCCTGACTACCACAAAATCAGGATTTCTGAGCAGGGTGTTGTTTGATAGTGTTTAATAGCTAGGTCGCACATGTTTATTAACAGTGGGGGACCAACCCAAAGTAGTATTGCCAAACATGCTTTTTGGAATGTGGGTGTTGATTAATTCGGGCTGCTTTCTAATATGAACTTAACATTGCTGAATTTGAACCTGTGTTTTGAACATTGCTCAAATAAGAAAAGCTAGGGCGATGTGTCTCGAAATGGGAAATAGAACTGAGAAGGAAAGGGATTTGATTTGGCTAGTGAGCTGATATGAAGTGAAGATGGAAGAATAAGCCTCTGAAACTGGGGCAGTTGACCAATATCAATGCGAATCCAACCAATGGAAGAGGGGATGCTACCATGCAAGTTTTAGGTTTGTCCGAAAATCCATTAGGTTACTAACCAATCAGGTTTGGAATGATGACCAGCGGAAATCGCAAGCTGCCCGTCATATGTACCTCCCAAAATTCCGTGGACTGACCAGCCGGTAATGGATATGTAAGGGATGATGATGCTTACCAGCCCCTGTGCAAGTCCTTGTTTATTTAGAGGTAGCTTTGGTGGGAGGTACCTTAGATCTTGATAAAATTTGCCGATGAACCCTCATCCAGAATGGACATCGAGTGGTTGGCAAGATGAAATGCCAAAGCTTGCAAGACTAATTGAGTCTAATTGTAGCAATCGATCATATAGTCAGGTATTATTACTACGTATAGGTAGGTATCATACGCAGACATTGTCGATCAATCATATAAGAACCAACAGAAATGCAAACGCAACCTATCAAAACTGCTCATTATTGTGAATAAAGAGATGCAATGGGTATGCAGTACGTGCAGACATGATTACTGGCATGCGCAATGTGAGCACGTGCTTCGTCCAAGAAATAAAGAGCTTGAAGCTTAAAGATGGCCGACTTGTTTTGACGTTGGACATCCCAATGTTGGCTTGTATGCAGTATGCATGTTATTGGAGACCATGAGCATGTGTGCCCCTGCCCTACCTGCACTTTCCACAAAGTGGTTCGGGCACAACGCCTGGGAAAAAATGGTGTGAAAGACTGGAAACCCGCATAATGTTTGAGTGCGTAATAAACTGGACGATATGAGACCGCCTTTTCAAGAGGGCGGGGGTTCTTGATCTACTTGCAGATGATTCAAGCGATTCTAGATTGAAAGCAGCAGTTTTTGAGATACCCAAGATCTTGACACACTTTCGCGCGTGGGCAACAGTGTTTTAGCTCCCGAGTTAGGTGAAGAAGTGCGTACAGGAAAGTTGCCCCATGGTGTGTTTGGGACCGTTTAGTTGGTGGGGCCGTGTATTGATAATTGTTGTCAATATTCGAAAAGATATGACAATCATAAATGATCCATAGGTGGTATTGGTAAAGATATATCTAGTTGCATCTGAGATATTCCAAGATTTCCAAAATATTCCAGGAATTCTAAGATAGTTATTCTAAGATATTCTAAGATACCTATCCTTTCAATGCCTAAATCCTTTTGTTTCACTCGTCGGGCACCAGGTTTGACGAAGGAGGAGCCTCGACGGAGAAGCACCACCGTGTCCTTTGGCTGAAGGGGAAATCCCAAAACCGAGGATTTGACATACCAAAATATGCTACAATTGTGATTTTACAAGGATACAAAGGAAACCTAGGAATAAAGATAATCAAGCAGCCAACAACGAAGGTTTGATTGAGATGATTTAAGTATTGGAAATGGGGACTTCAATAACCAATAGTTTGGGTAAAGGAACTTGTCAGTGGTTGAATGGGGGTGATTTCTGCCCCTGTATTAATGGAGTAGTGGCAATAAGCATTGCAGGAAGGCGTAGTCAGCTTTGGAACATGTGCACCAGACTTACACCGGCACTTGCAACAGGCTACAAACACAGAAGTACTGCTGTGTTGACATATAGCACCAGATGTGGATAAATACCTTAGTGTGACCATGCAAACTCCATACCTTTGCCGTCGCAGTTTATAATCCACGGTTGGTTTGCAACAAGCTTTATCTTCCATGCCCGTGATGCCAACAAGGTCAACATTCACGTGTCATGCCTTTAAAAGTTCATCGAAGGACCTGTGTAGAATAATTATTCTATATCGCATCCATCCATCCATCAATCTATCCATCTATCTATCCCCTTGTAACCGCCCCACATCAAAGCATCTTGCGATGCGCCAAGCTGACAGGTGCCCGCGAAAAGGTGTCCCGGCCGCAACGCGACGGCGTGCTTCTGCCTGAGGTGTCAACGGATGGTTTGGATGCTGGGAGACCAACAAAGAGATACTGTGATAATTGTGCTAATTAGTTACGCTAAAATGGAAAACCTGGCCATGCCCATCCATTTGGTGGAGCTATGATGAAATATCGCCGACCAAGCTGCCTGAAAGATCGTCTCATACACTGATACATATGGAGATCACACAAGAGATGATTGCATGATGATTGACCACATTTCAGCCCGAATGAAGCGATTACAATTATGACAGGATGAAGGGTTTGAAGACTTCATTGATTTGATATAACATGATATAACCTTACCAATGTGGCAATCACTAGGACATGTAGATAGATGTAGATAGACATGAACGAAAGTGAAGGTCCATAAACAAAGTGGCTGTTGCCAGGCAAAGATTTGCATCTTAAAGTGACATGGTGCCGAGTTGGAACTGGTTTTGACCTGGGCAGATTGTCCTGGATGTACAGATTGGACATGTGTCAGGTTTGCTGCACAAAAAGCGCAGTTTCTCAACAAATGTGTGGATTCAACATGACCTCAGCTAAGACGTTTGACTGGGGGATGAAACAACCATTTGCTAGCATAATTCAAAACTTGCTTGGCTTAATCTTATTGCTCGTCCCCGACTTGGGAAGATGCATCCAGCTGACCAAACAATTTCTGCTGCAAACCTTTCTACCGCTTTCTGCAGCTTGTACAGATTGATGCCCTTTGAAGCTGCAAGGGCAAGACAAACAAGTCGTTCAGAGAAAGGCGAGACTTGCAAACGATCAAGATTCCAACTCCATCCCAAAAGCCATGAAGAAATGATATCCAGACCCACCAGCCATATATTTTGAATATTTTTGAATACTCCGAACATTGCCTTGGCCATGCCTTTGGCACCAGAAGAAGGGGCCGACATGGTTTGCACAGTGCTGTGCCGGTGGCGGTCCTCAGTCAGAGTTTTCCCAGCACTGATTTTTACAGTATAATGTCTATAGTAATCTAGATTATATGATTGTATGCAATTGTATTATACATATATATATATATTTAATATATGATATGATATAAAATGTAACTAAATATAATTTAAGTATATAATATAATATAATAAAATATTGAATATAATATATAATATAATATATAATATAATATATAATATATAATAATATAATATATAATATAATATACGATATAATATTTTTTATGATATATAATATAATATATTATATTTTAATATAGTATAATTTGATATAATATATTTTAGTTTAATAATTTGATATGATATAATATAATCTAACAAAATATAATTTATATATAGCACGGTTTCTAACTATGTTTTTTGTGTAGTACCTATTATTTTTACGTATGTATGTCTGCATATACTATCTTGTGTGCTCAGGGAGACTATCCCAGGTGGTTTTTTGAGATGTTGCATTGTCTTTGGGGTGATGGCAACAATCATGCTGCGGAGATCCAAGTTGCCCTCATACTTCCAATGGCTGGATAGCTGGACAAACTCAGAAGAGATGAGCTAAGAAAGCCGCACTTTTCGCAGAGGTCACTGGATCTTCCTTTGACGATCTTTTGGTCTGGTGTAGTTTGGGTAGTGACAAGTGACAAAAGTCTAAATTTGAA